CATCCATGATCACAACATATAACCCACATGCCATATCCAACACAGACTAGTGTGGGCAGGTGTAGTTCTCAGTGAACCATGTTTTTAAGTGAGCTGTAAACGTATCACTCACCACAGTTGTCCTCATCGCTGCCATCAGAGCAGTCTGGGGAGTGGTCACACCTCCAGGTCTGACGGATGCAGTGCCCGTCTCCACACTGAAACTCAAACGGCGAACACACGGGAGAAGTCTGCGGGCGTGGCCGAGGCAAAACACACATGTGTGGAGACTCGTCCCGCCCATCTTTGCAGTCAGTTCTCCCGTCACACAGCTTGTTTCTGGGCAGACAGGTGTCAGACGGTCCGCAGGAGAAAGACCCAGGGATGCTGCAGTTCAAGCAGGACGCCTCATCACTGCCGTCGCCACAGTCCTCCACGCCATTGCAGCGTAAATGTGAAGACATACAAAGCCTGCTGCGGCAGGCAAACTCATCCTTCTTACAGGACACGAAATCTGTGAAAAGTCAGACAAGTTACATCAATAAATACGTTTGTACAGTCATGGAAAGCTGAAAAGGCTTCCGTTCAAATGTAATCTGAGCATTATAAGCAGGGGTGCACATAACTTTCCCCCCCCCCCCCTTCTCAAAGGAGCACCTGGAGATGGTGCGCATCCTTAAAATGAAATAAACCGGACCTTTTGAGGGGGTCTTGACTTTATGAATGGGGGAGGTGCGCTCATGAACTGTTCGCCGGACAGGGTTATGAGCGGAGCGCATAAAGCAGACCCTTCACGCGATAGCGAGGGGTAGAGCGAAGGATCGCAGATGCCGTCATGCTCGTGGACGGATGGAAAAAAATTAAACCTAAATGGCTCACGAATTATACTTTGGCGGCCGTTAATATACCCAAGTAAAGTCTATGTGTGGGAAACCCTGCCATCTTACCAGTTCTTATCCAACTCGCAAATATCTCTCTCTTTTCTCCCTCTCTCTCAATGTTGGTGCGCAAATGCACCTTTTTTCAAATGATCCGGTGCTCCTTTTTTGGCGGGGGTGCGCATGCGCACCTGCGCATTAGTTATGTGCAGCCCTGATTATAAGCTTTTGGTACGCCACTAACATTTATAGAAAAAACATTATTGACTTCTGAGCATTTTATTTTGTGTTTCAGTTTGTAACAAATCTCTGAATGCCGTTTCAGAGCAACTCAATAGACCAACACAAATAAGTGGGAAATTGTTTGGTGGGAGAGTAAATATGTGGACAGGCTAGTGATTTATATATTTGTGAACACAATACAAGTTTTCATCAGAACCAGCTGCCTCATGGATCATTACGTTTATAAGAAATGCTGTTTTAGATTACATCTACCCAGATCCTCAATTAAAGCAACTTAAAAGGAAAGATTCAAGAACATCTACTTGAAAACTGTTAAAACCACAAAACACAAATGTATGACTAATCCAGCAAATCAACACCTGGTGAAATAAACCACACTGGAGCAAAAATAAATAAATGGGGAAAATCCAATATTATCATTAAACAGCTAACTGTTTTGCAACATTGTCAAAACTACCGTACCTGACTGAAATGTAATGTGTTGCCTAGACTGACAACAGATCATTTCCTCTTGATATTTTTTACTCTCTACTATCTCATAATAAATCCACAGTAATTTGCAACTCCTACATTTTCCTGGCTAGTTTTCAAACCAGCTTCTTTCAACTGCAACACTACCCATATTCATACCTGCTGGGAATTCCTAACATCAACAATGTTTGTGTTTATTGGCTACCTTCACCTTTAATCCTTTCAGAACATTTTCTCCTGCAGGGTTTTTCTTTGCAAACGTTGCGCAGCTTGTGGTTCAGGCTGAACACCAGATTCCTCCGGAATTCAATACATTCAATTCCAAGTTACTTGCACATTACTTTAACAGGATTACATACAATAATCTGCAGTGGCATTTTTCCCACAATGCAAGAAAACGAGCTGATGTCGTTTAATCAACTTAAACTGTATTACACAACACTGTAAAAAACAACAAGTGTAGGTGAAAGGGCGCATGCTTTGCCTGCCAACACAATCATTAGACATGCCATTTGTCTGAAACTGTAGACTTTCACGCCATGGGTGCTGATGATACCTCATGTGGCCCCAACATTATGTGTGCTTTAGTTTAGTGTATACATTCTCAGTAATGTGCAATTATTGTGATGGTGCAGTGTTCATGTAGTATTTCTGTTTTTACACAACTTCCAACCAGGCTGTCCGACTGCATCATTGTCAAAACAAGCATCCATCTCTCTATCAGACACTCTCTTGGCTAGAAAGGGGAGCTACTTAGAAAAATCCCTTTTGTTAATGAGTCAGTTAGATATTGAGATGTTTCCAGCATTCAGTTTCTATGCAATACAAAGCTGTGACAACATTTGAATAAACTTCAGGCTGGCACCAACTCTGGGTTCTTCTCACTCATTTTTGTTTGACAGTGTTGTGTGTACCGGTATGTGTGTGTGTTAAAATGGTATCATGTTGTATACTCACCACAGCGTTGTTCATCAGATCCGTCCTCACAGTCTTTGTGCCCGTCACACACTCTCAGTCTCTGGATGCACGAGCCATCACTGCACCTGAACCCACGCTGCTGGTGGCAGGCGTGCAGAGAGTGAGCCTCTGCACCTGAGATACGTTCAAACACAACGTTTTAGTCTTACCGTTTCATAATATACATTTTCTTTCATAAAAAGGCAAGGCAAGTTTATTAGCACCTTTTAACACAAGGCAATTCAAAGTACTTTAGAAAAAACATTAACAGCATTAAGATATAGTGCAGTGAAAACAAATAATAAAATGATAGGCCTACTTACAATATTTAAAAACAGTCATTAAAAAGCAAAGAGAATAAAATAAAGATAAAACAAGCTCATATAAAATAAAACAGGTATTAAATACAAGAATACAAATTACAGTGCAATGTAAGATATGAATAGTTATTTGATTGAATCGTTAACACAAAAAGTGCATTCCTATGATATAAAAGTGTTTCCATCTAAATCTACTTAAACTGATGTAATTAACGAAGATAAGGAAATAGTTAAGGTGACAGAGTCTTGTTACACAGTCAATTAAAAATACTAATGCTGTAATTTGTATTTAATAATTAAATTAAATAATGAAAGATTATTTTTGTGTAGAACCTTTTAAAAAGGTGTTTAAATCTGAACCTACATTTGCACTGCAAAGCCTGGGTCAGATAGAGTTCCGCATTGTTTTTAAAATATGTTTCTAGCTTTATTGATACATTTGGCACATATATTTTAGTCCAAATAAGACATTTTCTGGAACATATAACATGATGTGTTTGTATAGTAACACTTAAACTAGAAAAACCTTACATATATCAGAAAAAGTGGACTGTAGTTCGCAGACTTCATTCAAACGGACAGGTCTGCTCGACTGTAAACCGTCGCTACTTCACGTCATTTATTCAAAAAGCGCTTAATGTAAGCAGCTCTTTAATGTCACAATAATGTAAAAGTAATTTCTGCATCTTACCCAAAATATAACACCAAGATAGTGGCGCTAGCAGAAGAAATAAGCCTCCAAGGTGTCTCATGTTCGGTGTCCTCCACAGTTGCGTCGCACGCGGCGCGGAGTTATGACGCAATAGTTGATTCAGTGGTTTGTGATGAAAAAGTAACATGATGTGCTTCTGAAAGGCTGATGGTGGCTCTTTTAAATACTTTGATAAATATACTAAACAAACATATTTAATCATGTTAAAGGTAAAAGGCTATCACTTATTTTAATTGTGCTCGTAAATCAACTACATATTTGTATTTGTTATTAATTGAAAATGAATGCAATTTGAAGTTTGTACAAAAAAAACACGGAATCCTTGTGAGTAATCAATATAACTTAATAATTCAAATGTAATTTTGTATTATAATTATATTTGTATTATATATATTTTAACAAATGTTTTATGTGTTTAATTGTATGTTTTAGATGATATCACATTATCTTTGTATCAATGTTTGACTCAAACAAAACCCTAACGTTTTTAGTTTTAATGTGCAGAAAAACCCTAACATGCCCCTCAACAAGTCAGCCTGACATTAAAACATTAAACAGTCCCCCTCAAACTTTTCTTGTCATAGCCTGGCCTACATATAAGACATTATATTACATTACTCTTCAGATTTAAAATCCTGTGAGCTAAAACGCCTCACCTTTTCAGAGAATTGTTTGTATATTGTATATAATATATTGTCTGTATTCAGCTTGTTGCTGATTAGACCACCCTCAAGTACAGGTTGAGCTGAATTTTGGTAAAGTCACCACTCCCCTTCTAAAAACAAATCAATTTTCAATCCATCCATATTAGTGCGGGGTAAAACTTGAAGTATGACTGTGATCCAAAATGTTGTTGACTCACAAAAAATCTTTTCATTTTCATAATATCAAGTCTTCATCTCATGACCTAATCCATGGTCCATCTGACAATAGTAATGACATGAAGTATTTCCTTTAATGGATACTTAAGCAGCTTTATACTCATTTATGTTTAATTTATCTTTTTGAGGGAATTATTATTATTATTATTTTCTCAAAACGAATGTAATTACAAAGATATGTAATATGTAAAATACAATAACATGATAATAATGATGTATGAGACAGAATGAAAGTCTACTGGGAGCTACTCAAGTATCTACACTCCGTCAGCCAATTAAGGGCAATTTTCTTGTGAACAAAATGATAACTGTTTTGTGGACTATGAGGCTGCACTGTCCTGTTTGGGGAGAGGAGTTCCAGCCTGTCCTTCAGGCCTTTTCTCTGTGGGCCTCAGCCCCTCCAGCTTCTGCATCGACACACATCTACTGAACACCCCCCTGCTATACCGCTTAGCCAGTATCTCCAAAAAGTGCTGCAATGTATATTTACTCAATGATGATTTAAACTCAGTTTAAATTAATTCAGTTTAAGATATGACCACAATAACTACAAAAACCGTAAATAGAAGACATTTTATTCACATTTATTATTGTACAGGACACAGGCAGTAGGCAGGCCTATAAAGCAGATGTGGAGGGAGGATTTAGGTCATTGGTGTTGAGGGAGGTAATCCTGCTGCTCAGAGGTACGGCTCGTCTGTGGAGAGCGTTGGCTCCCTGTAGACAGCCCCCGGGGTCACACAAGGCTTTGAGACCTCAGCAACTTGACTACAAAGAGATGAGAAGAGAAAAACAAATATGACATGATTTAGACAAAAATAGTCTTTCACATATCAGGATGTTTGTTGTTATATTCAACAGTAAAAGTTTGCTGCTCACATTACTTCACGTCAGATCAATTAATCTAAGCATCGGGGCATCTTTGGCAGGTGTCTGCTGGTTTACTCACAATATTTATTGCAGTTATGCCATCTGCAACTATGAACATAACTACATTACCATATGACAGCGCATTGACCGAGTCATTTACCTGCCGGCGGTGAGAGCCATCTGAGAAGACATGATGACAGTGGCGGGAACCGACTCTCTGCGTCCATCTCTATTGCAGTAGTAGTTGCTGGCAAACTTGTGGCTCGGGCCCACTGGCAGTTTGGGTGGTGGCTGAGTCCTATAGAGAAAGCATTGTTAACAGAATGAAGCCGTATCTCTGCTGTGAAAAATATCGACTTAACAGGGACTGTCTATTTGTGGTCACACATGCAGAGCACACAGCACACACAGTGAAATGTGTTCTCTGCTTTTAACCCATCCTAGTACCAGGAGCAGTGGGCAGCTATTGTACAGCGCACGGGGAAGGATATAGCATTGTCAGTTTGAGTAACAGATCCATGATTTCCCAAAAAGTCAAAAAAATCAAAATATGTCGTAAAACTGTGAAGTAACGCTTTTTTTTCTCCCGCCTCGCACCATACCAAGGAGGCTGTCACGACGTTAGCACATTTTGCTTCTTTCTTTCAGAATGAGGCGAATAGTATTAAAAGAGGTGAAAATCACTACAAGTCTGGGCATGTTGAGAGCTGTACATTCACAAAAGGGGAGAAAACAATATATATGAGAATAAAGTAAACGGGTGTAAAATACTATATGACAGTAAAAAAAAGTTGTTATTAATAAACAAGAATACAGTTTAAAAAGAGAGTGATTTGTAAAATATCCATAAAGAAAAATTAAATCTGCTTACAGTTCTGTTTCATATGGATGTTGAGAGATGTATCCAGAGCTCCTAATGTTGCTCTCAAATTGCACCAGATTGATGCTTTTAACTTCAACATTTAATTTTGTTTCCTATATCACATGGATAGGAAACTAAATACATTTGCACACATCTTGTGTCCATATCTTTCTGTTTTGGTGGTCATGCCACAACCGTGCACATGCGTGCATGCATACGCGAGTCATGGTAAGATATCTGGATTAAGAGGTTGCTTTGTCTTTGCACAGCATGAAAGAAAGGCCAAATGGATGGGCTGTGATTTTAGTATTTTTAAGCAGAGGTCAATCATTTGTACGGCCCTCGGAGGATGTTGAAAAAATTAAAATGGCCCTTGTGAGGAAAAAGGTTCCCCACCCCTGGGTTAACGCATGTAACTACATTGACTAGGAAAGAAAATGGTCTGGTAGTAAGTGGCAGTGCTGCCCGAGAGCCACATTCCAAGACACATGCATGAAATAACTAATCTACTTATAGGCAGCAAGAAAATTTATTCAAATCAGTTTGCAGGTGCTGTCCTCCTTGTTTTTACCGCCTGTATCAACACGTCATTTACACATCACTATTTGGGTTGTATTTGTTTACAGAGATAATAAGTCAGTGTTTAGCGTTAGGTGAGTATGAGTATTGCTTTATTGTATCATTATGAAGTTGATTGCAGGGTGTAATGGCTCCATCGGTGTTTACATTAAGCACAAGTGTACAAAGTCTTACCTCTTTCCAATCTCCCCATATCGCAGCTGGAGCTTGCCTTGCAGGGCATGCTAGAAAAGAAACATCATTACTGATTTATGCTTAAAAACGCATGATATAAGACATAATCATGTAGCTCTCATCCAACTCAGCTCGACCGGTTTGCTCTTAAAGCTACCTAGCATTAGCACCCTCGCGCTCTTAAATTAGTACTGTCCACCCATTTAAAGCAATACATATCCAGGTAATACATAAATATTCATGTCACAGTAAGTCGCAGTTCAGATAAAACGTTTGTATGTGATTCTTACCCCCGACAGAAGATTTCGGAGCCTCTGAATGATTTTGGTTGCAGTCGCCATGTTTGCTGTTGTGAAGGACACAGGACTTCTTCTTCTGTCAGACTAAAGTTTCTCATCGCGTTAGTGACACCTGTCGGTCCGAAAGGAAAACTACCGACACACATAAAGCACTGAAGTTTTGAAAATAATAGTTGTTTTCACCATTAGTTATCGATATAAATATGTATTTAAATGTTGCATTATATATAAAAGTGAATGATATGCAATATATTACTGTAGCATGTTGCTATAGCCAAGTGTGTCTAATTTCTTAGAATGTATTAATACCACTATCTTACATAATATGTTTACTATGTCTACTATGTTTTTTTTACAGCAACAGAACTGTTTCAGAACATTCAGTGGCGGCGCCAGAGTATTTTTGTTGGGTAATCTATGGTAGGGCTAACACATACAGTGGTGGGGCTCAAGTCAGTATTTGTAATGTAATTACATACACGCTATATCGCACTCCTTGACAGTGAAACGCACGCGTGAGGCTTTTATTAGTCTCCTTTTATCAGCTAAATTACATCGAGAGCAACAGGTGTGAGTTAAACAATACAATAGCCTATTCTGCTAATTCCACGTTGTTACAACATGCTACGCAGCGGCAGAAACAAGAAAAGTTGGCATATATAATTGACACGGAGAGGGAGAGAGAGAGAGAGAGAGAGAGAGGGGGAGAGAGACACAGACACAGGTAAACAGAGAGAGACAGACACAGCACACAACAGGTAGCCTGTATCTCTATTGTCATACAAAACACTTTTTCAAATGACATTACAAAATATATTCAAAACTCACTATTCACTCTTCAGGTGGGTCGTGTGACTCTGGCACCTGTTCGACTTGTACCTCAATGCGAGGGCGTTTAAGAACAAATCTATCCATCCGAAATATACAATTAATCCTAGAAGTTCTGCTGTCTGTCTGCAATTTACTCGGCGCGAGTTTGGGGACTTTTCACTGTGAACTTGATGTATCGACATATCAGTAATGCACGACGCAGCAGACCCAATGTTTCGTTGCTCTGATTGGCTGTAGGTCTATTCAAATTGCATTCGGAGGCATTTTGATCTGACCGCGGCCGCGCTGATATTATAACGCCAGAGAATGTTCACACCTTTAGTGTATAAAACTCCCCCACTACTTAGACTATTCCTTGCACCCCTCTAGCATAAGCCCGAATGGTCTCAACCATATTGCGTCAGTAACGTGCACTTGTTGTTACAGCTGAGCAGGATCAGTTTGTGTGTTGTGGACACGACCGGTAGATTTTCTCAATCCGTGTTCTCCACATGCTTACTTTAACATAATTTGTCATGGTCGGGCTAAGGTAGGGCTAAGCCATTTCTTGGTATGGCTGTAGCCTACCCCAGCCATACCCTGGCGCCACCACGAACATTGTATGCGACTCAACAAAAATATCTCTGGTGCAGAACATGGGTTGCATTCCAATAGTCTATTTAGTTTAGGAACCTTCCTAACCAAGTGAAATTACCCGGAAGTACGTCAGTGGCAGCCATGTTAAGTGCAGTTCCAATTCTCCAAATGAAAGGAAAGGAGGTTTCAAACTTCCTTTATAACCTCCTTTAGCTTAGGAACCACTGGACCTCCCTTGACGAAAGGAGAGGAGAAAATGCTGCCCCACAATGCATTGCAGCCGCAGCATTTGCCGTCACTCAACAGTCGGCCGTTCACGGAAACAACCGATTATGACCGAGAAATTATATCATGAAAGTTACGGTGCTTATTAAGCATTTTAAAACGTATGTGGTAAGTTGCCAAAGTGCTTTGTTTTGAACGTTCATCAGTATTATAATCAAAAAGAGAAATATGAACGTTAGTTTTTACTGAAATGATCAAATAAAGTCAACATTTCACAGTCTTTACTGAGCTGTGTTGGGTTTGTTCAACTTTTAAAAGATGTTTGAATGGTGATATACACAGTGATAGATGTTAAGGACTAACGTTTATAATAAATACATTTGTATTTATTTTAAGATCTTTTCATAGTTCATACAATCATACGTATTGGGACCATTTGTATTAATGTGGACCGGAGGGAGAGGGTGACGAGCATAAGTTTCACTTTCCTTTTTTACTTCAATTCCAACTTTGGTCATGAAGAATATGTTTCTCTGTTGTCCCCGTTCATAAAGCATAAAACAACAGCATCAGAGCACGGTGCAGAGTCTCTAGATGAGTTTACAGTAGTCCCTCCTTCTTATTATACATCCATGTTGTAGTCCGCTATAGAAAACTGTAGTTTCCATAGTTTCCCCACAGCAGCAGACGCACATATGACGTTCGCTGGCGCATCATAAACACGTCGGATAGTGAAAGTGCATTCGGATTCTCTAAAGTACCGCAGTCTCTTCTCCTAAATCCTTTTGAATTCTCCTATCCACTATCCCTTAACCCCGTGACGTTTCACTCAGAGGTCAAGGAATAGGAGATAGGGTTAGAATTTAGGAGCTGATTTTTGGATTATCGGAACGCAACCATGGACTACACCGACGTAGTGTTTCCTTATATTACATTACATTACATTGCATTTAGCTGACGCTTTTATCCAAAGCGACTTACAATAAGTACATTCGACCAGGATATATATATCTCACCTCTAAACCTTTATGTAATACGCCCAAGGGTGCTGAAAGCATTCTTGCTCTGTTTTTAAAGTAACTTTAATCCCCGATCCAGAAACTGCTTCACTTGGGAATTTCACTGTTGTACAGAATATAGACCACAGTCCCGCATTTCAATATTGACTGATAGATTAGTCCAAATAATGCAATATATCATTGTTAACATTAAGAAATAGATTCTGAAACTGTGGAAATCGGACTCTTTCCCCTAGTTTCAGACCAGGTTATGAAAACTGGCAATCCTCCAAAAAGTTTTGACAACATGATAATGTTACAACACACCCAAGACAGATTTATTTTGTATAATGCTTTACTTTTTATATTGCAGCAGCGTAACTCAAATTATTTGAGATCATGGCTCGTTATCTTTCTAGGGTCTTATTGTCTTGTCATTATCTTTTTTATCGTTAATTAATCTGTCATTTTGTGTGTCTGTTCTTTCCCTTTCTGTGTGGTAAACAATGATATAGAACACAAAACACCAGTGGAGTAATTCTAAGGATGAGTCAAAGAGATTTATTTGTTGCACAAGAAAACACAGTACAGGGCGACAGGGCCGGTATACCATGCAATCAAGTAATACAGGTGTGTGCTTGTCTCATGCAGCATGCACTGAACAGAAGAGTGCACAGGAGAAAACATGCACATGTACAACAATTTGACCTGCCAGTTTATTCTTTAAGAGAAAGTTTAACACCAGCTGAGAATCGTGTCTTTGAGGACCTCCAGTGAATGAAGTTTTTTTCAAGCATTGAATGTTTACATTCACGTCGATACAAGGGTATTCAGATAAATCAAGGTTACATACACTGCAAAAAGGGTTCCCCAAAACGTTTAGCCATATGATATTGGAAATAATACTTGCATATTTGACGATTGTTAGATTTAACTTTGAAAAAGCTTTTCCTATGCTCAGCTGTTTTCCTTTTTCTATTTAATTGTAATAAACGTACTTCTAGAACAATGACGTGCATTTTCTATTCATCCCTCTGGAGCATTACCTGCGCTAATTTGCACAAAATAGATATATATGTACATCTAATATATATATATATATATATATATATATATATTAGATGTACACATGGCCATCAGCATCCCTTTGCTTGGATTGTCATCTACAAACAAATATATTTTCAAAAGGCTCAACCCATGAATTAAGTGCATGTAAACACACTCAATGCTTCTCAGCTCAGTGCTAAATTACTCTTTATGAACATTTTGTAAAAAACAAAACAAAAACAGATATGTTACTCTGATGAGTGTTGTTTCTTTCGTGGTATCAAAGGGGGTAGTTTCATCATACAGCCACAGGATAGAAAATGTTTGTACAGTACATAGCATGTTTGTTCGTTGTAAACAATTCTGTCAGACTGCAAAAATAACTGAGCCATTCAGCGACAAAATCTCTGTGCTGACATGATAACACTCTAAAAAGGTCGTCATCTTGAGATTTCAGGAGGAAGAGAGACTTAGGTTACACATCAACAGCTCTGAAGCTTTAGAAACAGAAGACTCAGGAGAAAGTTGATACAAAATTCAGCAACAGCCACTGACAAATAAGACAATAAACCTCAAAACTCAGGAAGTACAACCAAAATACTAACAGCCCATTCCCTCAAGTCAGACTTCCCAAAAATCCTGGTGCCTCGACTAGTCATTGTGCATTTCACATCCTTTAACACATCTGGAATTATATACACCCTCGTTATCAAAATATACATCAATATTTGTACAATACAAAGAGATAAAACATTTGTTCAAAGAAGCCCTGGATTTGGATTCAATGTAAGGATGTGTCCCTCTGCCATTTTCAATTTACCTTCAACATTCTCTTACAAAATGCATGTCAAAATACGTTGGTGCACTTTTCCTTTCGATGTAAACATTACTACACGGTAAATTAAGTAGGAACAGGTCTTGTAGGCATGGTGTCTCTTAGATGCTCATCTGAAAAAACAAAGACGAAAGCTACAGTTTCAGGAAAAGATATTCCAAAAATACACAAGGTTGCAATACTTTCCCCAGGTACAAAATGTGTTGATATTATAGGTAAGAAAAGACCAAAAAATAAATACTCAAATGCTTTCGACAAAACTTTGAAGAAGACGTAAACTTCAATTTGGCTGCTCTATTCCCCCCCCCCCCCCCAGTAAATTGCATGCTTTGAGAAGAACAATTTATTACAGCGAGATGAGGAGCCATGCTGAATCTGTGTTTGAAGGTTCCATATAGTGAGCAAGAAAAATATACGTTTGAGTTACCTCTACTATATGGTATCACACTGAGATTATATCGAGTAGCAACAGAGCAAAGTGTGTCGCATTCTTCATCCTGAACTTCAATTTACAGAAAATGTTGTCAAGTCTGCAATACCAGCGGGAAACAACACGTACTTAGAAACATCCAATTAGCCGCGTTCACACCGAGTACTTTGCTGTACTTAGTTCCCGGCCCGTCCACACAGCGGCGTGCGTTGAAGCTTGCCGACGGGCGTGTCTGAAACTCAACCAACAACCAATCACATGAATCTCCCGCCCCTGACACACAAGCAGCGGTTTGATTGGCTAGAGCTTGTACTGGCATATGATTAGATTGGCTGACGCTTCTGCCGAGGCGTCAAAAGTTGAACATTGCTCAACTTTTGCAGGGAGCCACGCCAGCAACGCTCCGCGTCGCTTCCCACAATGCAGTTCGGCGAAAAGTGACGTCACCCCATTCAAAGTGAATGGTGAAGCGTCAACGCACGCCGCTGTGTGGACGGGCCAGTGCCGCGGCACTTAATACCCCAGGGCACTAAATACAGATCGCGTTCACACCAGAATAAATTCTCTGAGGGAAGATTACGCAAATGAGCCACTGACGTCACTTCTTCTTCTTCTGCTTTGGGTTAACTGGCAGTCCCCGGAGTTGGGGACTGGCTTCAGTAGTGAAGCCTTCTGAGTAAATCGCCAGAACGCCGACACCTCCTCATCTCCACCGCTCCCATGTTTTCTTTTGTGTTGCCATAAGTTAGCCTCTCTGCGTTTGTGCGCTGGGCGAATGCTAATAATGCTAATGCGAGGATAATAAAATGGCGGCTCTATAAAACATTTCAGAGTTTTACGGGGCGTGGTTTGCAATCGCCCAGCCAATCAGAACTGTGGTACTTTTTTTCCCCAGGAAAGTACCTGCTCTCAGCAGGCGCTAAAAATGGGGTTAAAAGTTCCCGGCACTTAGTTATTTTTTTTATGTGAACGCGACATCAGGGGTACTAACGGAACTAAACGCGAAAAGTACGGGTGAAAAGTACTCGGTGTGAACGCGGCTATTGACATTTCTGCCTTTAACGATATGGCTTAGAGGACGCTGCACTGATAGCATGGCACATAAAACCCTTTTTGAATCGACTAGTACCTCATTCACACCAACGCAACTCCGGTTCAAGCTCCGTGCTAGAGCTTTTCAGGTTCAGAACCAGTTATTCGGTTTAGCTATGGCTCTTTTCCCACCGCCCAGAGTCCGACTGGTAATGCGTCGTTGCGTCATCGTTTGCGTCATGACGTAACCGTTTGCGTGCCTGCTTCATAAAGCCAAACCGCGCGGATTAAATCAGTTGCATTCATTTCTTATGGCTCTATCTGCAGCTTTTCCGGAGTCATTTCTGTGGTTTAGTTATATTCTTATAAAAAAGTGTACTCGTGTCAATAAAGGTTTTTTTAAAAACACAACTGCTTCCGAGGTCGGTCTTATTTCTTAAGGTGGACTGAACCATGAGTGTGGAGTAACGTTGTATCTTTCATTTAAATGAACTGTAACCTTCACCCAGGTATGTAACAGCTGTTCTCAAATGAACACGTTAAGTAAAGTTGAATTTTTATAGATTTAAAATGAGTTATAATCAGAGATGGGGTCGTTACTAAAAAAAAGTAATATATTACTTTAAAAAAAAAGAAAAAGTAATATATTACACTACTTCGTTACTCTCTACATAAAGTAACTCGTTACTTTACTTGCAGGCAGATCACGCAGACTGATAATGTTTCAAATGTTCTCTTTATTTCAGTTTCCATTGTCGCATAAGACTGATCCAGATCCTGAATGTGTTCCTATCTGACCATGGCTGTCCTCTGTCTCCTGCTATCTGTATATTTTGCTCAGTCTATCTCTGCTCACGCTGTTGCGGCGGCGTGTTCTCCTGCGTGTTGGCCATGTGTTGCACTGGAACCAGACACCGCAAAGACTTCAGCCGAGCATGTACGAACTGCGCATGCGTGAGTGGCAATAACTCTCCTTACCAGCAGGCGGCGGTAGTGTGTATTCATCATTCAAAACAGGCAACAACCGGAAAACAGAGAAGAAGAACAGACTACGTGATATAAACAAACAACAAATAGCTGTGCGTTAGCTTCACCTTAGCATGTGTTCTTTGCAGGTGTTTGTTGAGGTTTGATGATGACTGATTTTAGTAAGTAACGAAGTAACGCGTGTCGGGGCAATGTTAGTAACTGTAGTGTGATTACTGAATTATAAAAGTAGCGCGTTACACTACTCCGCCACCGACAAAAGTAATATTATTACAGTAACGCGTTACTTTGTGACGCGTTACTCCCAACTATGGTTATAATGAGGTGATCAACGTGAATGCTCAGGTTCCACCTTAACACGCAGACACGTTGCTTCCCCATGAGCAGAAACCTTTATATATACAGTCTATGGCAGAAACACAGAAACTCTTGTTAAGTTTCTCCATCGTTGTGTACAAACTGGATAAAACGCAAGCTTTTTGTTGTTGTTCAGGAGTTGATCTGTCTCTGCCCCTGCCCCCGCCTCGACGTAAGCGTGACGTATGTGGTGCTTTTGCTCTGGCCGGACAATTTTTGGGTGCTTGAAACTAACCGGATTCCGGAGCTAAGAGGCTGCTCCGCTGCGGTGTGAAGAGGAAAACCCGGTGCTTTTCAAGCTCCAGCTCCGAACCGGCCCTGAAACACCGTTGGTGTGAATGAGGTATATATCATGTAACAGATTGTACTTTCTGTGTGCAATATTACCCTGCACTGACCTGTTATAAACTCGAGAAAATGTTTGCTGTGACCATGAATTCACACCGTAAGAAACATGATCAACAAGTAAATGGAAGAACTTTATCTTTCACAACTATAGCACTGCTGTTTTCTCCACCAATGTGATTTTTGCACAAACTACAGTGTCTGAGGAGTGCAAAAAGAGAGTAACACGTTTTTTTCCTTTCATGCTAATTGGTAGCTTTGACTGCAGCAGCAGCAAAAAAAAAAAAATACTATTGTTGTATATTAAAGATACAACTGCTGACAATTCATCAGACGTTGACACATCAACCATGTTGCTCACAGTGTGAACCAAAGGTCATTCTTAGGTTTCTGAAGATCAATATAATAGCAGTAACCTATTCAAAGCTGCACTGTTCAGATCTAAATTGACACTGAAAGAAAAACTAGTACCTTTTGGTCCTACAACAATTATGCTGATCATTATCAAACTACTCTGTACTGCAACAATGTATTTAAAAAATAGACATTTATACAAAAAGCAATCTAGTCAAAAGACAAAACCACATTTTATGGATACAAAAATGTTGACCCTTGGCTCTTTAAATCAGACCTTCCCTCTTTCATCATTACTAATTCATCATAGCTTATATATGTAATAAATAAGACCAGCAGGTCTGCAATGCCTTGAGGCAAATTTGAATAATTAAAAAAATTCAAGTAAAATCATCTCCTTACTCAGTTCATGAAGTTTGTAAATGACTTTACAACTTTGAAAGACTTGAAATAAAAGATGAGCAGTTGAAGTTAGTGCAGTGGTGAGTCGTCACTTTTCAAATGCCCTTGTTGTGGAGTTTCCTCTCTGCACTCGGTCTTCTCTGTGGAGGGACCAACCTGAGGACCAGTGGGGGGGCTGTCTGCTGCCGGACTGCAGCTGTTGTCACAAAGAGGACGTCCTGCCTGTTGTGGCTGAGAGGAAGGGGCGCCCGCCTGCGGCACTGCTGTCTCGTTGTTGGTGTCCTCGCCTTCTGAACATGGCTCCCACTCATCCTGCTCGCTCTCTGTTGAGCCCTGCACGGCGATCTGGGGCACCAGAGTGAACCTCCTGACCACCGGCACCTCTGGCTCCACCTCCACGCTGGTCTGGGGTCGAGTGAGGGTCCAGGCCGTCCCGTGCCGATGCTGCTGTGTTTGGGCGCCCGGACCTGGGGTGCTGGATTTCTCTTCCGGCTCATCAAAGCTCACCTCCTGCACTGCTTCCTGTTTCTTAAAAGAGTCTCTTCGCTCTGATAGGTTGAGTTTTCGCATCACGACCAGCTGCTCCGATCGCTCCATCCCAGAGTCCCTCAACCTCTGGCTGCCGATGTACCCCCCCAGCCTGCTGAGATCCACACCAATGTAGGACCCTCCACAGGATCCCTCAGCCTCCAAATCCCCCAGCAGGTCCCCCTCGCCGTAAAACGGAACCTCCAGCGTGTGCCGGCGGGGGGTGTAAGATTTCTTATCAGCATGGTACACACCAGACAGCTTCTCAGCGGACTGTACCCTCTTCAGGAGAGGAGAGCGGGGGGGCTCGGCGCTGCGGGGCCGGACAATATGTCTGACGATGGTGGGGGGGGACAGAGTTTTGCCGTGGTAACTGTGAAAGCTTTTGGCGAAGCCTGAGAGTGGAGAGGGAGAGCGCTGAGGAGAGAGAGGCTGGGCTGAGGAAGAGGAAGAGTTACAGGCCAGGGGCGAGGGGGGGATGTTGCTGGTTGACTTCCGGCGGCCCGCCTTGGTGTAGCGCTGCGTGCTGAGTTTGGAGCCCAGGCCGTGGAGAGAGCTGGGCCGGATGTGTGCTGCGGGAGAACTGGGAGAGCTGGAGCAGGGAGACGTGCTCTGAGGAGAGTTGTTGTCTGGGAAGCAGAGGGAAACGGTTTCAAACATTGAACGTCACAAGAGGCAGAAAGATAAGATAAGATGTATTTTATTACTCCCAATTTGGGAAATGTTTTTGTTGCAGCAGCATAAAACAAAACAAGGCATTGCACATAATAACAAAAATAAATAAACTATTCTAAAATATAAACATCTCAAAATAGAAATAGAAATAGAAATAAACCAGCATTAGAGAGTAAGACAAATATACAGATGACCAAGAAACCTCAATATTTAAATCATATTTTTTGTTATGAAATTAATATTGTAACAAAAGAGCCTCTACTCAATATACATTTTCAGATGTTAGAGTCAGGAACTCTTTTAACTTCATCATGAATAATTGTGCGGCCACACTGCTCACCACAGGCCTGATGGTCGGGGGCGGGGCTCCGGCAGGGTGTGGAGGGGCCGGGGGAGAGGCTGTGTGTTGGGGAGCCAGGAAGACTCTCACTGGAGGACACTGAGTGGTGGAGACCCGAGTTAAAGCTGCGACTGCTGTGTATCACTGTGCTCTGCTTGGACAGCTTCTTTAGGATGCTTCGTCGCCTGGAGGAAGAACATAGAGTCAGGAAAATATATTGTTTATTTTTGTTAGTACAGCAGTGGCACTGACACCAAGCTCGAAACTGTTTTTTACGTTTGTGTGGCCTAGCAGGGGATTCAAGAATCTGTGTCTGTTGTCTTGATTTTAAAATGCATCTATAGAAAATCTAAATATTATTCTAATGTGTAGATGTACGTTTTTAGTATAACCCCTAACATTTGGAAGACCCTTTTGGCAAGCCTGATCTCATTACAGTCATTCACAGGCTGTAGCACATATCCAAATAGCAGTTCTTGCACAAATTATTTTTCAACACAGTATATTATTTTCTAAGGTGTTTTACATTGTAACAAGTGGTATCAACCCAAAAATGGCTACAATCACTTATGAAACATAAAACCGGACAGGGATGGGCATTGTGTATTTATTTAATAATGTTCTAAGCCCTTCTGTTCTTGTAGAAAATATTCTCCAGTATAATAGACCAAACCTTGCAGTGAGTGAAATCAAAGTAATACTGAGTTGCTGCTAAACTTCACTTCCCGGTGTGTAACACAAGAGGGAGACAGAGACTGTTGCAGGTTAGTTTCTCTGATGACATCCACCATTTAGCAATCTCACAAAGTAAACAACGATGAGTAACACTGCAGAGCTGCAGGGAACAACACGGAACGTAAACCTCAGATTCTCACCTGTCGTAATTATCTCTCCTCTTGCTCTTTCTGCTGCGACGAGCCATCTTCCCTTTGTGTTTGGTCTTCCGCGCTGGACCCACTTTGATGGACGTGTTCTCGAGTGCTATGGTCTGAAGAGACACTTTGTTGCCACTCTGCAAATTTCATACAGAGCAATGAAGGAATCAATTGTGATACGGACAAAGGGAAACTTTAGTATGAATTTCAAGCGCAGTGGTAACCAGTTGTACCTTCAGTAGCAGTTCTATCATCTCAGGGTGGACCAGGCCCTGGACCGACTCTCCGTTGACGTGGGTGATGAGGTCTCCAGTGCGGAGCCCTGCCTCGTAAGCTGGATTCCCCTCCTCCACACTCTGTCAAACAGCAGCACAGTGAGGGTAAGGAGAGGAGTTTATTGGGACTATTACATAAACAGCTTTTTTATACTTTTTCTTCTGTTATTATAGTGAAGCTAGGCCTGTCACAATAACTACTTTAGTTAGACAGAAGTCAAATGTGATAAAAACAATGTTATTGTCATTTCAACACCATTTTATCCCATGTTAAATCATGAAGATTTAATAGCATTATAATGTACATTTTTTATTATTAAGGTGTTAAAATATTAGTAAATACAACTTAAATAAAATAATACCACAAAATCAAAACAATAAATAAAATGTACTTTTGGGTCATATAACAGAAATGTGCAATTTCTAAAGTAATTAAAAAAGGTAGGGATAACTAGTCTACTGTCTATTCTAGTTGCTCTATTATGTATCTTTGCCACTTAATCATTATATCGACATGACTGATAATTATTCATAAGATATCCCTATTTTGTGAAACCTCGAATAGTAAACCCTACAATAACATTGCAATATCGATATTTAGGTATTTGGTCAAAAATGTTATAAATATTAAGGTCATGTCCATTAATCGTATGATAAGTTGATAGCGTAACTACCCTCACAGGCCTAAGTAGAGCACATTACTTGACATGGACACATGACTTTTATAAAAGCCTGAGCACAGCTGCGTATTTTTAATGACACCCACCGACACCATGTGATGCACCGTGTAGACATCGCTGTCGCCCATGTAGACCCGGATGGCCTGCAGGGTGAAGCCGTACTTCTTCCCGGAGGTGTGGATGATAATGGGAGGCCTCAGGCTGCCCGGGCTGAGGGAGAAGTCCCGGCTGGGGGAGGAGTCCCGGGATGAAGGGTTGGAGGACAGAGAGCGAGGGGAGATGGGACTGGGCTGGAGGCCGCTGGGCGAGTCGTCTGAAACAAACAAACCATCAATATCCTATGAATATGTCAAATTGCACCGCCTACTACCTCAGAAAGGGGATTTTAGAATAAAAGGTTAATGAATATTGTCCTGTTCAAGGGGTGGAATCCTATTTGTTTTATTTTATTAGTCACTTTCATTATGTTCTAAATATAGGCCTGTTTACATCCATGATAACCAACCAACATTATAAGAGATATAAAGCTAATATTTTGTAACATGTAGCATCAGTGACTTATTGTCACATTAGTTTTGTCTTGGTTAGAGTTGATGAGTTTTGATGTTAACTACCTGTAGTGATGATGAGGGACAGGGCTGAGACGGAGGCTGATTTGGGAACCTTCCCTCCGCAGGGCAGCCTCTGTCTGTCCGGCGTCTCCAGCTGGTTACCGAAACGTCGAGGGCCGGTCGGCTCTTTGGGGGATGAGTGTTTGGCCCCGGTGCTGTTGCTGCGTATCCTGATCCTCCGAAGGTTTGACACGACCACCTCAGCTGCAGGTTACAGTAAAACATAAACAATATATAAAAACACTGTTGCTTCTAACAGGGGCACTAATACATGTTGTGGATTTAATGTCAGACACACTCAGTCAGTCTGGATTTACCTTCATCATCAGTGGAGAGGGCGAAGCGTGGCATGGTCTCCAGGCTGTGGGTGCTGCTCATCACCAGAGGGCTGGTGCTCCTCTCAGACTGGGAGGAGCTGGAGGAGGCCCGAGGGCGCAGGCTGCAAACAGACCAGTTCAACCAGTAAACCAACTGGTTCAAGAGTCAGAGTGATCACAACAACAGCTCAGTGTACTGACTACTAGCTGCTTTAAAAAAAAAAACATGACAATGCCTTTAGGCATGATTACGTTTTTTAACAGCAACTTTGCATGTAACTAAGAATTGACATATATATCCGATTCGTCAAGTCTTACCAATTGAATTCAAATACATTTAGCATTTCGATAGTGCCTTGTTTTTATTAGTGCTCTAGTTAATACATTTATTTTGTAAGTGTAGCCTTTTCTTGTTGTTTTAATCATCAAAATGCTGATTGTATAACTTTGCAACTTCGCGTACAATGTGTTTTATTGACACATAAAAACAAGGTTATTTGAGAGCATATGAGTTATTTGGAAGTTTGTTGCAACATTATTATTAATAGGGTCATATTTATACCAATATTTACACTAATATACTAAACTAATGTAGGCTATATACAGTGTTGTGCTAGTTACTGAAAACCAGTAACTAGTTACCATTACTAGTTACTGGTTTTCAAAAGTAACTCAGTTACTTTACTGATTACTTACACCAAAAAGTAATGCGTTACTGTGAAAAGTAACGTTTTAGTTACTTAAAAAAGGGGCCTTCATTTCAGTACTGTTATTGCATTGGAGAATAATACAATCTGTTGATCAACTTGACATGCCTTATATGCAATCTGGATTGCATCGATATTAGCTGGCTTTCCATTTTTGTATATTCTTTCTCCAGGTAGTTGGATAAAGTTTTCCGTTCCATATGCCGCCCGGACATGGTATCATGCTAACTAGCTCCCTGAAAGCGGGTGACTCCACTGTAGCAATAGCCTGCATGTGTTCTACAACATACCGTGCAATGGCTTTATCGACTTTTCCCTGGCTAGCAGTCCCTTGGTTAAAATCCAGCCGCTGTTGCTTAGGTGGAGGTGGAGTGGCGTCGGCTGAGTCTCTGTGGTCTTAGCTACTAGCTTCGTCCCAGCATGTTGTTTTTGCATTTGTTTTAAGAGATTTGAATTACTGGCTCTTTGACCCGCCAAGACACAACTTACATTTAACAGAAACTTTCTTTTCTTTGTGCTCGACAAAAGTGAAATAGTGAGAATATCTCCAGGCGGAGAAACTAGACTTGAGCTCCGCCGCTGTCATGAAAGTCTTGTTAGTAAACAACACAAACACGCCCACAGCCCGTCTCCGCATGTGACACAGAAAGTATCAAAGTATATTTACTCAAGTACTGTACTTAAGTACAGTTCTCATCTCTGTTCGCCTGGCTGTTGACTATATAAAAAAACTAACGGAGTAACGCACCATGTAGTAACGGTGACTGAGTTACTGAATTTAAAAAGTAATGCGTTCGAGTACTAGTTACTACCAAAAATAGTTACTTTGTAACGCGTTAGTCCCAACACTGGCTATATATCATGATTTATCAGGAGAAAGTAAGCAATGCTATTTAAAAACAGCCCAAATTGAATGTTTCATTACATTTTGTTGTCACTAGCATTGAAATCTCTTCGTAATGATTTTGAGTTTGACATATTATTTTGTATCTCCTACCTGGCCATGCGCCCGGCGTGTCTGCGCTCGGCGCTGCCCTCTGCTGTGCCCGGGCAGGGACTCAGTCCCCCCACGTCCCTGCGGTCCTCTTTGTCCTCGCTGTGGCTCCGGTCGGAGGAGAAGCTCAGGTTGGATGGCGTGGCCAGATGTTCTGTGCTGCTGTAAACCTGAAAGATTGAAATGGAGAGAGGGTGTTGGAGCGAAAGCTGAGCTGAGTATTGAAGAGCTTTCAGATGATGTAGAGCTGCATAAAGCAGTCATACCACAACCCCCACCATTTGGTTCTAAACATATGACTTTGTTATGTCAACAGCAAAACGCAATAGTCAGTTTAACTCGATTTTTTTCACAGCATGGTAAACATCTTTAGCACACATTTTTTTTATACAAATATTTTAATCCTTTTTTTTCCAACACATGTTGCACTGTCCTTGGGTGCTTTGAAAGGCGCCTCTAAATAGAATGAATTATTATTTACCTTGCTGAAGCGATGCGACCAGGATGAAAACTGCCTGATCTCCAAGGAAGATTCTTCATCATTGGTTTCCTCATCCTCGTCTGATGCCAAATGATGGTAACGATCTGAACGAGCTGAAAAAAAAAGTATCCCTTTTTAAACATTTTTACATCACAAAAGAGTTGTGAAAGTGTCTTAAATGTAGGAGGAAACCAACTCTTTAAGCCTGGAGTCAGGATTAAACCTACTATCGAAGTAGCTCGTGTCGTCCTCCGCCTCCAGCTGCGGGATGAATTCAGCCTTCTGTCTCAGGAGTCCATTCCAGTCCAAACCAATGAAGAAAGGGTTCTGTTTGACCTCCGAGGCTCCGCCTGCAAACACACATATTTTTTGTTAGAGCCAATCAAATACTGGAAATATTAAAAAAATGTGTGACTTCAATAGAAGTGGCAACATGTATTCAATAAAAGGGCCAAAAGTCAGTTTATCCATTTTGACAAAGGTGATTTGTTTTTTACTTTCAGTATCATTGTAATTGTATCATGTGATAATCAGCAGTAAACTGAGCAGTACCAGTTCCCAGTCGGTCTAAAGGACTCTGTCTGAGCAGGCGGGTGATCAGATCCTGGGCTTCAGCAGGCAGGGCATCGTCTCCTTCTGGCCAAATGATGTCATCTGCAAACAAGAAACGGAAGAACAAGCTAGATATATCACATATAAAAGCATAAGAAATGCTAAGAACGTTTCTGAAGGTGTTGCTGAACACTAAATGTGAAAGAAAAGATATGTAATGATAAAAAGATTTGAACTTATGATAACAAATTATTTTTGACAAGCTACCGACAACTTCTGCAGAAAGCCACTACGCCAAGCACGATAGTTTGACAAGACCAGAATAAATGAGTCCAATTAATATTAATCTAATTTGTTCTGAAGATCTGTCTTTGTGGGTATTCAACACTGGATCTTTAAGAACAAAGGTATGACAGAGAAATATTGTTCAGGTGAAGAAAAAAACATTTTCCAACAACATTAGAAAAATGTGACTTCCGATTTATTCCACTGATTGATATAATTTCAGCGCGCCGCTCACCACTAACAACTTGTCCAAAAAGCTCTTCAGGTGTGTCTCCAAAGAATGGGACGCAGCCAACCAGGAACTCATAGAGGATGACCCCCATGGCCCACCAGTCCACAGGCTTCCCATAGCCCTGTCTGAGGATCACCTCTGGGGCAATGTACTCCGGAGTGCCACACACCTGCACAAGCAAACCAGCACAGGTGAGTAGTGGGAAACAGAAACAGCTGCTTCCATAATACGTTTTTATTCATATTAAAACCAGTCTCACCTGTTTGTCTATAAACTCTCTCGTGTCTTTCTCCATGTGACCCTCGTACAGGTTGGTGGTCATGTTCATGAGGCCAATTTTAGACAGGCCAAAGTCCGTCAGCTTGATGTGGCCCATTGATGTTATCAACAAACTGTGGGAAAAACACCAAATAATAAATGTAAATGATCAACATAAGCAGGTTTGAACCTAAATGAACTTTACTTTTGGATATCACGAGAATACACAAAACCCAGATTGAAATACTAAGGAGGCTGACAAAAGAAAAACAGGATTGTGTTTAATTACAGATCATGTCTCTGATCTTTTTGTTTAATTTAACTAATTCTAATGAAAGGTAAGAGTGCTGGGTCATACTGTACAGAAAGTGGTGGTACATGCAAAAGCTTAAAACAGGAATGAAGTTTGTGTTCTCACTTGTCAGGTTTGAGATCCCGATGCACAATGCCATAGTTGTGAAGATACTCCAATGCCAGGACTGTTTCAGCAAAGTACAACCGTGTCATTTCTACAGGCAGTGGGCCCATGTTCTTGAGCAGGTTGGCACAATCTCCACCTTTATGAAACAGAAAACCATAGCAAATGTGTTAATGGCTAATGAATCCCTATTTCTAGTACTAAATGACCACTAGTGTGTAAGGAGCATAAGATTAGAGTCAAACGTCTAACGGCCCGTCCACACTACAGCTTCAAAAAAAGCTTGGAGCTGGGCGTGTCTGAAGCTTGACCAACAACCAATCACATGAATCTCCCGCCCCTGACACACAAGCAGCGGTTTGATTGGCTAGAGCTTGTACTGGCATATGATTTGATTGGCTGACGCTTCCACCGAAAGCTTCAGAAGCTTCAAAGTTGAACATTGCTCAACTTTTGCAGCCTGACACACCAGGAAAGCTCCGCTCTGCTTCCCACAATGCAGTTCGGCGAAAAGTGATGTCACCCCATTCAAAATGAATGGGCAGAAGCGTTGGAAGCTTCTTCCAACGCCGCTGTGTGGACGGGCCGTAAGTCACAACAGCGTTGGAAGCTTCTTCCAACGCCGCTGTGTGGACGGGCCGTAAGTCACAACAAAAATCACACTTTCTCATCATTACCTTCCACATACTCCATGACCATGCATAGGTGACGTCGTGTCTCAAAAGAGCAGAACATGGAGACAACGAAGGGGTTCTCGGCAAACGTCAGGATGTCTCGCTCAACAAAAGCCTGCTGGATCTGGTTCCTCAGGACGAGGTTCTGACGATTTATCTTCTTCATGGCAAACCGTTGTCGGGTCTCCTTGTGACGGACCAGATATACGGCCCTGTAGAAAAATATATGAGCCACATTAAACCAATTATGTTCACACTGGAAGTAAGATAGTCTTTATTCTCTGTACTGTGGCATCTTTCCCATCGAAACCCACACATTTCCCTTCTCACTAAAAGTTGCATATTGATAGATGAATGATCAGATGTAGTGATATTATTTATTAAATTTGGTTGGTACTAACTTAAATAGCTTTCAAAAATAAAAAAGGAAGAAAAGATAAATTAATTTTTGGCATATATTTTTTAAAAGAAGTGCACAATATTACCTGGGATGAAAAGGGATAACAAATACTTATTTATTTAATTCTTAACTGGACTTTTTGCAGCTATTAGAAATAACCAGTTTGTTTTTTTAGGATTAAGGATTCGCTTTACCTTTATTTAACACATAACAGCAAAGATAGGGAATCTCTGCATAAGGTTGGCTTTGCCGTGTCATATTTAACTCCCCAGACACCATTGTAGTGGATGACATTTTAAATGTTTTGGGGTAATCGTGGTAATTGCAGGTCTCAAAAAGTTTTCTGTTCTGAGAAGCTAAAGGGGTCATCAAACTCGTCATTAGACTATCATCCAGTTAATTCATTAAAAACCACCTTTTAATTGTTTTGGATGTTTGATCAAAGGAGGAACTTAGTTTCTGACAAGATGATTATGTATAATCAAAAAATAAAATGAAACTGCTACGGTTTCCTGTAAAGGTTATATCGATATTCTAGCATGCAGAGGATTTTCAAGGATCCCTTTTTTGCAATGTTTTGTAGCTCTTAGGCTTAAAAAAAGTTTGGAAATGAATAAACAACACCCTGAAAAAGCAAGTAAAGGTAGACAACGTTTAAAAAAAAATGTCTTACCCGTAAGCTCCATTACTAATGAGTTTGATTGTGTCAAAGTCACTCTCAAAAGGTTTCCTTCGAGTCGGTGTCAGCGTCTGTGGGACCTTGTTCTAAAAAAAAGGAGGCAGAAACATGTTTAAGGCCAGTAGTGGGCAAATTAAAAATGCAACACAGTAAAAGCAATACTGTTATTAGGATAATTACAGGGCAATCATGTCCAAGGGCTTGTTCTGCTGTCTGAAACATAAACTATACTGCGGTCTAACTACTAAATACATAATTATCACATTTTGTCCATGAGGAATCAGGAACAATATACATAAAGCATTTTTGATTTCAGATAAAATTGCAGAACATATGTTTGTAAGAATTCATTTATTATCTTATTTTTTTAAATCCTAGAATATCCTTTACAAAAACCAAATAGTGTGCACACTTACAGCTAGATAACAAAAAAGGGAAATGTACCTCCACACTGGCATCTGTGTCCACTGTCACTGAAGGACTCGCATCATACTGTTCAAGCTCTAGAAAGAACAGAAAGAAAGACAGTGCTTAATATTACTGCAAATAACACTCTGAAAACAAGTAAGATTCAAAGTTTGGTTTTCAAACAGGCTAAACCTGAATTTGAGGCTAATGAAGTGTGCAGCTTGACTTCACGGCAGAAAAGTCCTTTACCTTCTAAAGGGTCGCGGGTCAGACCCAGCTGGCTGATGATGTAGCGTGGGATGTCCGTCTTGATAACCTGGCCGACTTTGGCATGACCCTCGGCGGCCTCAAGTAGGTGATAAAACTCTTCCGGGTCGAACTCCTGTAAACAGCATCAAGTATTTTTAATGGCTTAAGTCAATTTCCTGCCAGATTGAAATCAAAGCAAGACAACAGCAAAGCAAGAGTCTTCTCTGTATCAGTGGTACAAGTCAAAAGTAACTGTATCTCATAGATGTTCAGCTTCTCATTCAAGTCAAGTCGCTCTGGATTTACTACTGAACCTACTCATTTATCGGGTACAAAGAGTGGGTGATTCATAAAGACTGAAGTGAAAAGTTGTCAAAGTGTCAAGAACATTAGTGGTATTTTAATGCTTATTATTACTAATTATGTTTAAAAAAAAGACATTTAATAAACTAAAAAATAGTAAACACACTTGTTAAACTGAGCTAATCTTTGTGTGTTGTTTACCAACATTCAACAAAGACTGTATATCATTTGGTTCGATCTGTTACTTTGCCTTCTTGGAAGTGATTTGTGATTCTCAAAGAATTATAAGAAATAGATCAAAACGGTATTTTTCTAGTGACAGTGGCCGTTTCTCAATGTCGAGGAGGCTTGCTTGGTAGCACATATATGCTGGGCATTTAAACAGTGATTCGATGACGTAGTATGTTTGAAATAGTGGCTCTGGAGCAGCTTTACTCGACATTGAGAAACGGCCAATGTCTCAAATAAACTGGTAATCCAAAGACATGTATCTTCTTATGGGGAAACAGTGAAAGTTAAGTATTATTGTCTTCCTTTAATGATCCTCATCATGCTGCCCACACATCCACTTTAATTAAGGTCACAATTTCACTCGAGTCATACTTTCATGTGAACTGGCTACTAGGACTTTCAAACACAGTAATCTTATTTTCAATCAGGAAGAGATTTTCTTTTCCTCAGCTTACCAGACACTCCAGGAGGCGAGCCGGCCTAGAGATTATGATGAGGATCTTCCTCACCAAATGGATGATGACGGCCACCTCCTCGCTTTCAGAGCGCTCGTAGGCCTGAGGGGTACATAAGAAAATGTATTTATGAAACCAACCAACTCATTACAAATCACCCAAGAGAGGATAGAATACATCGACACTGTTTCAAAAACACTTTAAAGTAAGAAAAAAAAACAAGCAAATAGATATTTAGGAAGTTGTGGGATAAAATATGGCATGTAGGTGTCATTCATTCTACATAATGACATCAAAATCCAATACACTACATCAAAGAGACATTTCTAATTACGCTAATAAAATGGTCCCAAAATAAAAAATGTGTATTTAACCACCCTTGGTACTAAGATTTGGTTGTTCCAGTGGAAAATAAGTGATCCAAAGGGAGGGGGGGGGGGGGACACTTTTCCACTCCTGACAAAAGATGCTAGCTTCATGCGCAAACTGGAAATATACATATATAAATAACAGTGTGTTCAAAGCTGATTGGTACAGTATTAAGAGAAGAAACGGCTGCTGCCTGACAGAGATGCGTCACAGAAGACATCACTTTAAACCAAGAGGAATTATTAGAATAATCACTGGGTGGGTGGAGTCTCAGTGAGTCATCCACAGCCTTTCTTGTAGACTGACGTGAATGTACTAGTGTAACACATGGACTCTTTTAATGTCCTCCAAAGCTTCCAATTGTTAAGAGAAGCACAGTCATCACATGTGAGTTTGTGTGTTACAGTCACACACTTTGGTCATGACAAACCCATAAAAGGGTAAGAAAGAGAAAGACTGTTTTTTTACTAGAAAGTCGCAAGGTAGACTTCACAAACAGCCCTGTGTCCAACTATTAAAACACAGGATCATCACATGCTCAAGCATTAAGTCTGTCTGGTGAATCCGGTTTAAATAATAAACTATGTCGAGTACTTTTTTAAATTGTTTCTGTGCTTCAATTTCCAGAGATCATCTTCTCTTTTTATCTTATTTTGAAGAATTTTCTATAGGTGTTGCTTCATGGTACAAGTTAAAGTCATTTTGCTTATAATAAACTGTCAGACGTCAAGGTCAAACACTGAGCTGCACACTTCGGGTGACAGGCAGAAATAAATGGAGGTTAATTTAATTATTCTTCTAAGTTGTTCTTTATAAATATAAGTACAACATTGGTCACCTTCTATACACCTGAGTGCATTTCCCAGGCGAGAGCCAACAGGTAATATTTTTTAAATCTTCTGGAGCAGAGAGAGGAGCTGTGGATTATTGTTATTGATTAATGCATCAGTGTTTCTTAGGGTCAAAAACACTAAACTCACAACTTAAAATGAAAGCGTTTAGTTTATTTAATAAAAGAGCACATGTTCAATGTGAAAAGTGACAGTAGATATAGATTAGTTGCAATTTGGTGCTATATATATATATATATACAAATTTAAATTAGAGCGCAGCGCCCCTCCAAGACAATGGGAGGGGAAACACTGGAGTGCTACATGTACCAGCCTCTATGAAGTGAAAGTACTTTGTATCACCACATAGATCAACCCAATTGAATTACAAGCCACAGTGACATTTAGAAGAGTGAAGATGTAGTTTCATCTTTGAAACAGTCACACTTTTTCGAGACAAATTGTCCTTGGCACGCAGAGTGAGTCTCCAGGTCTGTGTGTGCGTGTGACAGCATTTGTTCCCCTGCATGGGAACAGACTTATCAGTTCAGCTGGAGGTACAGCGAGTCGACCATGCCTTCTGTCTGACAGCGCGCAGAGGAACAGGAAAAAAGGTTGCTATAGAAACAACATTTTTATCACAACAGCAAAGATCTGGGACAAAAGCACCTCTCACCATCACTGACAATTTCCACAACCAGATGTATTGTGTGTGCGTTTAGCTATCAGACGGTTATTGAACGGCGTGCCTGATTGCACATTTCACCCCCGGCTCAATCAATCCCCTTTCATAACTTCATTACATCATAGTGTTCAGATGAAGGGTTCATACGCAGTTGTAGTATACAATTAGATGATATATTTTTGCAAGTTTCAAAGACATTTTAAACTAATTTCATTACTACATTGGTCCTGCTGGACCCAAGTCAGCTGGCTGTTTCCCCACCTCGTGAAGCAGCTTCTCCAGCTTCTCCTGCAGCTCAGCGAAGTAGCGGGAGGTAACCAGGCCTTTCTGGGACTTGTCCAGGCAGTCTCTGAGCAGCTCCACCAACTGGTGCTGGATGAAGCCCAGCACCCCGTCAGCCAGAGGGAGGGAGCTGTCTGGAGAGCAGTGGGTGATAATCTCAAACAAGCGCTCCTCCATCTGGGCCGTGGCCTGCAGGGACAACAACCACACAAACACACAGTTAAGACATTAAAAGACAGCTTATTATTACCTTTTTATTCTTCGCAGCCCCAAATATTCATTATATTTCTGTGGGCAAAGTCATATAATTATTACCAGTGATGCAATTCAATGACATGTGTAGCAGCTAAGACTTGTGAATTTCCAAAATCTGTTTTTATTTTTTGAGTTTTAAGACAATTCAGATTTCACTATGGCTGCAGTAGGTTTTTTCATAAATGTTTTTTGGTTTGTACCTTTGGAAAACGTTCCTTGTAAACATGGTTCATCATGACAATCTCATTATCAAATGAGACGTTTGATCGCCCGGGGCTGCAACAGAAACAAAAGTACAGGTTAGAATATTTCACTTGACAGTTGAATATTATTTTCATTATTGATTAATTTGTAGTGCCAATTATTTCCACCAAAAATCTGTTGATCTGGTCGGATGTACACTCATATTTGTTCTGTATTTAAAAAAGAGAAAAGAAGGAAATAAATGGACTAAATTGTTTAGTCTACTAATCCACGCAGCTCTGCATACACTATTAAATACAACTCTCCACTTAGCTAGGATGGGGGGTGGGGGGGGAAGTGGTTATCAAGGCCAATATTGTAAGAAAACATGAAGCCAGCAGCTCTAGGCACTAACGCTACAATCAGATATGATTTGCTGTCAGGCTTTGATGTTTCGACACCACCAGCAGAGGTTTATTCTGACCAAACAGTGTGAATCATCAACATCTCTCAATTAGTCATTTACTGGAACACCACTTCAGTGTTTAGGCAGATGACGAGACAAGTGTATTTTCACAAAAAGAATCTTGCTTGATGAGGCTTCAAAGAGAACAGATGGAGGGAAAACCTATCACATCCAAACAGGCTCCCCAAGCTGTGTTTTTGTCATGAAAGACGCCTCTGTTAAAGTGGATGGCTGCAGCCCAACACACACTGCTGCGGCTCACTGAGGCTCTCTGCATCAGGCCCCCCCCCCCCCGCCCCCTCACACAACCCCCAACTTCAGTTCAGCAGTTGGATCCCTGAGGCGCTCTGTCAGCTAGCATGCCCACGCACTGCACACCATGGTGCCAGAACACAGAGCACTCAGGCATCGCACAAACAGCGCAGAGCAGAGCCAACACACAAAAGTTGTGGAAAAGCTTTGCAGTCAGATCCCCCTGCCGGCCCAACAGGCTCGTGTAATCTACGAGACGCACTTCAGAGACACAAATTTGCATGTGATTTTGTCTTGGTCATACCGAATACATGACATGTTGACATGTGACAGTCTACCTGTACATTGTGACATACATAATGTTCTTATAAACATTGCAACACATGCATCACTGTCCAAAATTAAACTGAAATGGGTTATTTTCCCAAGTAAAGAGGTAGTTAATCCCAGGAAGGATTACTGCATTTAATCTGTAGAAATTATTCATTTCATATGATGACGGGCCAAGAAACAATATTAAAAGGAGGTTTGGACCCGGTTCAGACTGGGTTTTGAAACATGAGAATATATATAGTGATGACGTGTGACTAGCTAACATCTCAGAGAAAAAGAATAAACACTTCACAGACACAGGTTAAATTGTGCATCAAGAAAAGTAAATAGTCATTTAAATACTCAATATGTTGCTTAGGAATTACCCCATAAGCACTTTTTCTAGTATAAATACCTAGCATTATAGAAGACACATTCGATTAAAAGGTGAAATCAGTTTCAGCTACCTGAGGCTCCGAGACCGAGGTCGTATGAGCGTGGAGTGCCGCCCATCCTCGTCGGTCATGCTGTCTGTGCTGCGGAAGTGTTTGAAGAGGAAGTGCAGCTCATCTTGAGTCGGCTGGTAGGGAAGCTGGTGAAGACGCTCCTGGGAGGAGGAGGAGGACTGCAGACACAAAGATGGATTCATCAGTCCAGAAGATTTAGTATTTTCTACATTCAAAAATGTAGAATCTACACATTCTTTTGCTGTTTTTTTAGCTTTAAAAAAAATCACATTATCTTTTAAAACACCATGGATAAATGCTATGATATTTACAAGAATAATAAAGACAGTTGCTAAGGGAGATGATGCGATTCAAAAACACCATGCTGCAATGTTTATACTGGGCCATTATATCTGATCCAGCGAGTTTAATAGGAGGCAGCAGCTAGGACCTCACTGTTGGTATAAAAACAATATCTGGTAGACAATAAGAAACAAAAAAGGGAGATTTATGTGGAACTATTTTTTTTTACAGTGGCTTTTTTTTTTTAACATTAAGACAAATAAATGAAAAGTTTTACCCACTTTATATTAATAATAATGTATTCATATAGTCTTTGCAGGGATGGAAAGGGAATACATATTGGGTTGTAACACATGTTCAAACATCAACAGCTTGTCTTGGAAATGGATGATTAGTGAAATGAAGTTAAGCAAAAGACCAATTTAATAAGGTGCTAAATATAACAGTTTGTCAAACTCAAGATAACAGTTCCAGTAAACCGTGCTACTTCCTTCTGTAAAGAGGATGTTGCTGTTTCTCATGTCTTGCCAGAGGCATCACTCTGTACATTTGGATGAGAGACACTACTGCTAAAAACACATGTAGACCTTAAGTCTGGGCAGTTTGCAATAAAGTTGCTCCTTGTATTTGCAACATTTAAAGGTTATGTTTATGATGACAGCAGCATATTGCATTCTGTGCCAACATAAGCCTGTCCTGATAACACACCTGTGGAGGATTTAAAAGAGGCTGCTGTATGAATTTAGAATAGTAATCAAACAGTGAAACATGAACATCTCCAGCCAATAAGTAAAGCTTTTCTTCCAGTAATGGGATATATATAAATGAGTAGATCAGAGACATTGATATTTACCTAATTAAGTTATGTTCAACATCTACTGAGGCACTGAGTGAACTCTTTCCAAGCTGAAGGGGACATAATGTACGATGCTAGCAATCTGTTGAATGTTGCCGCTTGTTCTGTCCTAAACCAGAGGGACAGCATCTGTGGAGTCTCTTTATTATGCCTCAGTATAAAGAGGGCAGTGAGGGCCACTGAAGAGCCCTATTGTCCCCACTGACCTCTGGGTCTGCGTCTACCCCATAAAGTTCCTATAATAGCTGCACATGGCAGAGTCTCACCACAGACTCAGCACACTATTCCCCCATCGCACGCTGCTCATTTGAAAATGTCCTTCTGTTATTTTGTGAGCAATACAATTGCAGCTTTATTCTAAATTGTTAAATATATTCAAATAAGACATTTAATATATACAGAAAAAAATATCTTTGAAGTGCTTTCACATCCTTTACATTTTTTTATTTATCATCAAAAGTAATTGAGGGAATAATCTTTTATAATGACCTAACAGAAAACCTCATACATAAGGCCATTTTAACATAATTATTACAGCTGATGTTGATGAAGAAATCAAAGACAAGGTCCTTGAGAAATTGTGAAAGTGACAACTATGTGATGTCTTGCTGAAAAGCTGTCATAAAACACACACACACACACACACACACACACACACACACACACACACACACACACACACACACACACACACACACACACACACACACACACACACACACACACACACACACACACACACACACACACACACACACACACACACACACACACACACACACACACACACACACACACACACACACACACACACACACCTCATTAGCATGCGTACACACAGACCGTGTGTGATACTTCCAACACTGGGTTCCACAGACTGAGAGAATGACTAATCCTAGCAGATGATGGAGAAAAACAATTAACAGTTTGTCATCTCAGGCCTGGCATTCACCGTCCCTTATTGCATAAACCAATGTGCTATTTGGGCAAAGAGAGGTGTTAGAATCGCCTGGCCACCATTTACTGAGCAGGGGGGGCTGGACATGTTTTGGGATGACTTACTGAGACAGTGGAGCTCGGCGGGTTGGTTCCATAGCCAGACGAGGGGAGGGACGCCAGAGACCATCTCCGGCCCTCAGCTCTGAGAGGAAGGGACATGCATGTTATATAAGCCTCAGCAGCAATGGCACAGATAGCATTTCATACGTGAACGTCCTTACATAACAAGCGACTGAGAGTCCTGTGACTACGTGAGCATGAAACTATTCTCTATATATACAAATCATATATAACAAGGTTCACTGTGTCCTTAATTGATACAAAGCAAGCTATACGTTCCCGTAAGAGAGAGCTTTGTAAGGAGGAGCATCAGTCGGTGAAACACACATAAAAAACACATGCCTTAAAAGCCAACAGATACAGTGCAAAAATATTAGAAGAAGCTACCTGTCAGCGCGAGCCAAGTGACTGAGATCACGACAGCAACAAAGAGAAAAGGAAAAGGAAAATAACGCATTTCAGTGAGTTTTGGGAACCTTGCGGAAGTGATCCTGTGGCCCTTGGCATTCAGCTGAGGGATTAGTACTGACAATGTTTCCTTCCTTGCCAGTTTTCATTTGCCCAGATACAAGGAGCGGCAAGCAAAATTAATTAATTTGAGGATTTAGTTTACATAACAGAAACAAAACCTCAAAGCATGACCTGAGAAAGGACCTTCTCTGCACTTTGAAATATGCAACACACAGCAAAATGAAGAGAAAGCTTAAGGTTATGTGTTTCAACATTTGTTTGACAGAGGAAACAAAAGGGTTATTACACAAGGAAAATTACAGATCAAAGAGCTCCATAACACTTAAATATATTTACAATGAAACACTGAATGCATGACTTATGTGATAACTTCACAATGTTGTTTGGGAAACCACTACAAAGCTGCATTTCACAACCGTTTAACCAATGATTTACTCGATTGTCTCTCTGACTTCATTTGTTCATGAATTTCATCTGAAGAGCCTTAATAAATACCGACATATACAAGAGAACCAAATTTCAAGCTGCAAAGAACAGAGATGGCGATTGTTCTGTAAGACATTGAGTATTTATTACTGCAGAAGTAAAGATGTTGAATGCCAAAATGTTGCTTTTTCTTTAAATGTTCCTTTTATCCTCAGCACAATAGATAATCATATACTCTCAATTGTCCCTCTATTAGCTACAACTGCCGTTCAACGCTTGTTAAGGCTATAAACACAGAGAGTGAATAAATGAAAATATCCAATGAGCAGCAGATCTCAGGGCAAAAAGCACTTTATCATTGGAAAAGGTTGAAAATGGCCAGATAAGACTACTTTGAGCTGATAGTAAGGCAACAGTAACCAGAATAAGCACTTGCTACAACTGAGATATGCAAAGGAGCATCTCTGAGAAACATGTCAAAACCTTAAGCTGAAGCAGCAGAAGGAGTCCACATCAGTTTCTACTCCTGTCAACTAAAAACAGGAAACTGATCGTAGATGTGCAGCCAACGACAAATCTAAAGAAACTGTAATATGAACCAAAATGTCTGAGCTATGATATGTCCTGAAGATATATTGCCTGTCGTCTTGATAGTAAGCTCCTGTAGAGTAATAACTCACGGCTGTCATTTTCTATTCTGTTCTGATCGTATCTAAGGACAAGCACCTGAATCTCTCATAAGTTTTAACAACTGTTCTGTCCTGGTGTCTTCAAGGTGCCGCAACACATGCCCGGAGCGAGACAAGCATGTTGCCATGGGAACTGGGTTGAATGATGTGTGAGTGGGCTTCGGGGGTATCCTCTATCTAACTGCACACATCTTCCTGAGGAGGAGTCGGCTGTAAGAATACATGGCAGAGGGGGGAGGTGTGAAAGCTCGACCCAGTCAGTTAGCTGCTGTTGATCTGAAGCTTCCAGAAGGGTCCAAACACACACCCCATCTCACAGGAAACCCTCAGAGGGAGTACGGGTAAGGTTTATTTTATATTCAGTTAAAGCGATCAATGGTTGGTAAACTTAAAGTGGACCTATCATGCTATATTTGAATAATATATTGTAGGGCCAAACCTATATAAAACATGTCTGTGAAGTTTTTTTTCAAAATACCAAACAGATCATGCATTTTAGCTATGCCTCATTTCGCTCTATTCCAGCCCTGTCTTCACAAGGGCTGATTCTGTGGCAAATGAGCTGCAGCTGACCACGCCCCCCTGCAAAGGAGGGGGGGGCGAGGCACGAGCGTCATGTTACCATGCTGTTACCATGCTGTTACCATGCTGTTACCATGCTGTTACCATGCTGTTACCATGCCACGCAACCTCTCATTCACGATAGGTGGAGAGTTGCCCATATAGGCGGAGCACCCCGTTTCTGACGTCAGAACAATTTCAAATCTGTATCAGTCTGTATCAGATCCGTTGCAGCCCCGTTTTTAGAGATTTGGGTATGGAGGAAAAGAGAGAGGGTTGTGTTTTCTGACACTTGGTGAGTTCCCTGACACATATTCATGTATAATAGACGTACAAAAGTGCATTTTGCATGATAGGTCCCCTTTAAACAACATCGACTTGGTAGTCAACACTGAGTGCTTTGATTTCAGCAACGTGCCAAAATGTTGTATACAGCCCTGAAAATGTATTTTGGACAAGACAGATGAATAACAAAATGGCAGCCAGTCCATTCAGTTCATGAAAACCTCACTCTTTGTAATAATTTGCCTACTCAAGAGCGGCTTTACCTAGTGCTTCTGTCGATTGAACATTTTATTTAAACTTTAACATTTTGCGAAACAATAATGTCAAGTCTTACATTTAAAATCCCTAAGTAAACTCTTTGTGTAAATTGCAATAGGCGCTTTCACACCGGAGTACTTTTCCCAATATAGTTCTGATAGTTCTTGAAATGTTGCGTTCACAGTCACACCAAAAAAATACTGAACTAGAACTTAGTTCATGAGAACCTTTTCACCCCCTTTTTAGTCCCTGCTAGAGAGCAGGTACTTTCATGGGAGAAAAAGGTTCCCATTTCTGATTGGCTGGGCGGATTGCAAACCACGCCCCGTAAAACTCTGAAAAGTTTTGTGAAGCCGCCATTGTATTTGCTGGCATTAGCATTATTATCATTAGCATTAGCCCAGCGCACCAACGGAGAGAGACTAACTTATGGCAACACAAAAAAAAACATGGGAGCGGTGGAGTCATGAGGACTGGAGGTGTCGGCGTTCTGGCGATTTACTCGGAAAGCTTCAGTAGAAGTAGCCAGTAAACCCAAATCAGAAGAAGACGTGACGTCAGCGGCTTCATTTGTCTAATACTCCCTCAGGGACTTATTCCGGTGTGAACGCGACCTGCTCTTTAGTTCATCAGAACTAAAGAGGTCTGATGAACTAAGTTCTGGGAACTAAGTACGGCAAAGTACTTGTTGTGAAAGCGCCTAATATTCAATTTGATATATATTTTTTAAATATTCAACAGTATTTTCAAGGACCGTATTTATTTATATGGCAATTCTAAATGAATTACATGGAAACTAGACATAAAGTTTAGGTGATACAATTCTAAATAATTATTCTATAAAATTGCTATTTAAGTTTAACCTAGTGATCTTTTTGGAAGTTCACAGCAGGTGTCCATTGAAAATGAAGTTGTCCTTATACAAGAATAATTAATGAAAAGTTGCTTTAAACATAGCTTTCTTAAAAATACATTCAAAAGCCGCGTTCACACCGCAGTACTTTTCCCACTTTAGTTCCGATATAGTTCCGAAATGTGGCGTTCACACCAAAAAGAGCCCGAACTAAAATTAGTTAATGAGAACCTTTTTTTACCCCCTTTTCCGTCCCTGCTAGAGAGCAGGTACTTTTCTGGGAGAAAAAGGTTTCTATGTCTGATTGGCTGGGCGGAATGCAAACCACGCCCCGTAAAACTCCCAAAAAGTGTTGTGAAGCCGCCATTTTATTATCCTCGCATTAACATTATTATAATTAGCCCAACACACAAACACAGAGAGGCTAACTTATGGCAACACAAAATAAAATATGGGAGCGGTGGAGATGAGGAGGTGTCGGCGTTCTGGCGATTTACTCGGAAGCCAGTCCCCAACTCCGGGGACTTCCGGCCGGGGACTTCGGGTGGCAGTATACGCGGTGAAGTTGTTTGCAGCTGTCACTACCCGATCCTTCCCCCTGCCCGATCTGTACTGCGCATGTGCGAGATGGTCCGCCATATTGGAGAACTCCGGACGGCAACCCAAGAAGGACACTTGACACAGTGGCTTTTGGCAAAGCTGAAAAATAAAACTCGAGAGAGATGAGTTATTGTTATTACAACGTGACTTCACTATTATTTAACAACTCTTTTTATTGGGTTCTTTTATTTTACATTGTCAGAATAAGTGAGAAACGAATTTAACATATGCCATACATTTTTGCATACATTCACAGTAAATATTTATTCAGTATGATAGCTGTCTAACAGAAGTTAAATTCATTTCTCACTTATTCTGACAATGTACTTTGTTGTAAAAATAATACTTTTACACCAATTATTTTTCAAAACAGCTGATGTGGATATGACCCCCTACCTCCATGCTCACAATTGCAGAAGTTATTGTACTTAAACAATTCTGTATTATAATTTCCTGTGAGACAGGACTGAGCCTGTCGTGACAGGGTTGACAGCTTGTGACAGTACTGACTTAATAGATTTAATTGATTCAGAAAAGTTATGTTTGTATTTTTTAAATCTTGTTTTGGTAAGTTTTCCTTTTTTAAACCATTATCATGATTCAATATTAGACTGATGTGGTAATAATCATTTAAGGACACACGTTAAGATTTAATAGAAATGTATTGATAACTGCTCGAAGCATTGTTATAATAAACACATTTATTACAACATAACATTGGCAATTTAACAATTCATTTAATCTAGTAATTGACTAATTGTCAGCTTACATTTTTTTATAGATAATACCCTCCATTACAATGTTAGTAGGTATTTAAATTATTGTTATTGTATTGTTAGGGGGAAGGGTGGTAGCATCTCTATGTTTTTATGTAATCTTGTGTTGTATTGTCTACGGTCTTGTGTTGTTGTTTATATATTTCCCCTCCCCTCCCTTGATGCGTCGATGACACCCTTCCAATTCGACCAAAATACTAGCCGGGCGTCCGATATGATTGTTACCTTACTTAAATGGATACACAATTGAACAAAATTATTTTGCTTAGTCTGAATGTAAATGGAATTCAGAATCCAATCAAAAGACATAAGATTTTGTTGTACTTAAAGTCTCTAAATTGTGATATTGCTATGCTACAGGAGACTCATTTTAATGCAATGGAATCTAAAAAACTAAGACAGAATTGGGTAGGGCAGATATTCTCTTCCCCTGGAGGAAAAGCTAGTAGAGGAGTCAGTATTTTAATTTCTAAGAATATACCTTTCAAA